GTTCTAAACATTGCGCGTGGAGTTATTTGTTTCACAATTTGTCACCGTGGACGTTGTTCTTATATTGTTGCTTGCTTGTCAAAAAAATGCATGTTTTGTGTGTTAAATTTTTTTGACTTAATACTCTGTAATAAAACGACATGACGTAAGCACATTGAAGATCCCTTTAATGCATATCCATGGAGCTTTATCGTGTTGTGATGCCGTTATGTAATATTGTTTTATATACCAGTGCATATCAACTGATATCAACTTCGTTTGTCGTCTAAATGTTACACTATACTAGCATTGTGCTATTATTGTGGCCGCCTTGTGTGCAATTTTAGTTATGCTAATCTTCAGTGTGTTGTTCACTTTTGTGACACATTTATCAGTCTTTAACGTACGTTATATCTGCAAACGCATTGTTCTGTGCATTTATGTTTAATACATATTCTATCCTGGTGGCTGTATTGCTGACGTTTTGTCCATGTTTTGATGAGGTATCTCACATGTTCTGCTGACGTATTGTTCATGTTCTGCTGACGTGTTATTTATTGTGTCATACTGTGGCTTGGGAATATAATCATATACATGTGCAATTATCGGTGAGTACTGTTTCTATATGACATCTACGTTTGTGTTTAAATCATAAAATAATGATAATCTACTAATTGTTTGTCATGTACTTGCTTTTTGTTGCTATCAAAAGTTGTATATTTGTGGGAATTATTTATCCATGATCATGCTTTGAAATAATATGGTTATGTAGCGTTCATGAAATATTCAGACTTGAGAAAAAAATTCTAATTTTCTGATTAAATCTAATCTAATCACGAAACAGAGTTTTCTCCTACCAGTTTGCCCTACACTGTAATATCAAGATATCATAAAAATATTTGAACACATACACTGAGCACTTGCCAGCATATAACATCCCATTCCTTCCCGTTCTAGACCTGTGAAAACGTCAGCGACAAGCCGGGCCTGTACGACGCCAAGGAGCTCATGTGTCGTACTGTAGACACCAAGACGGCGTGGTATGACTCCATCCCCGGGGACCCTGGGAGAGACAGCGCTGACAGTCCCTTTGGAATCCCCTGTCTCGCCAAAGGAACCGCGGCCACCGCCTTTTTAAAAGGCTTTGTCTGCAACAACGAGAACGCCATGAAGATTTCTGGCTGGGGTAAAGGGTGCCCAGACTACGAAGTAGCTGCCAAGTGCTGCATGCGCAAAACGCCGCCGATGTAAATCGCCATGGTGACGTGTCTGATCTCGTAAGCGTGAGATCTGTCCGGGAAGAAAAAGCGCGAAGCTTATTTTTAAAAATTTATTCTGACATTATTATATGATTATATTTTAAGCACGTATTTTCAACTAACATTAGTTATATCGCACTCCTTTGATTATCGTAACATGTCCTCTTAATCCAGTATCTATAATGTTCATGTTGAGGTTCGACGGTCGGCATCTTTACTAGGAATATTTAGCTGAGCTTCACCAATAGAACCTAGTGTACACGACCATACAGCTGAATGAAGTATCGGTATTTGTTAAGGAATCTCGGTCAACATATATTACATGATAGAACATTTGATTATACGCTATATTCCACGGCCTGAGTGAGTCCGGTGCGTCACAACTTTCTGTAGAAACTAATAGCCAGTTCAGTCTCCATTTTGAAATACACCAAGACTGAGAGAAAAATTATTTGGAAATATCAGAGAAAAAAAATGTTACTGAAGAAAATGTGGATCGTTTACCAGATGACGTTTTACTTTCTTTTTCTTGAAATGGATTATCAATGATGTTTTTAACAGCGTTTTTGAAAAAGGGACTATTTCACGGGGCAGTACAGGCAAAAACCACGTTATTACGAGTACGGTCACAATAGTGACGTTTGCCATATATTTTCTGGTCAAACTTTATTGCTAATGAATAACAGTAATACCATGGATGTGTTTTCTCTTAAAATATCCTGTGGAATTTAACATTAATTTATTAATAATCCCTATGTTAGTTATATATAATGTATTTATATATTGTTTTATATAAGAACATTATCGTAACCATGCTTGAATAAAGTAACTACCATTCTAATGAAAAGCTGTGTTCTTTTTTCTTTTACTAAAATACAGTTGAGTATCAAACAGGCCGCCTGACGTCATTGTTGTAAAGAAAAACAATTCACTAAAATAAAGTAGCGAAGAAACAGCTGCAATATTAGTCATGACGCACCTTTGAAATTAGTGTCGAGCATTTAAATAGTCTTACAGGTTAAATATGTACTGCTGAGAAGTACGTCAAATATGACGTCACATGTGGCAAAACAAAACCATCGTCACGTAATACCACGTTATTTTTTTTTTCTTTTCCAGACGTCATATATGACGTCACATGTTGCCTGGTAACAAAAACTTCATCTCGTAATGCCACTCTTTTTTTTTCTCTCTTCCAGACTTGCGACGAGGCCGGCGTGGATCCCCGTATGTACGAGCCCGTGGAGTTAGAATGTCGTACTGTGGACACCAGGATCTCTTGGGAGCGTTCCATCCCCAACGCTGTCCTCCCACCCAACCCCAACACCCCCTTCGGTATCCCCTGCCTTGCCAGAGGCTCGGCCAGCACTGCGTTCATGAAAGGGTTTGTCTGTAATAACGATAACGCTGTCAATGTCCCAGGCTGGGGACGGTCTTGTCCTGACTACGAAGTGGCCGCTAGGTGCTGTATGAAGAAGACCCCGCCAATGGCGCCATAGAGTGACGGCCATGGACTAATGAACAATCTTGTTATTCCCGTGATGTTGTGAGATGTGTATTTTATATTGTGCCCGGAGTTACAGGATGGATGGTTCTCAAAGATTAATGTGCAATGAAATATGGTGTTTGGAATACAGCAGGTTTTAAAAAAAAAAATCAATGGGAACAACCAAATTTCTTCTCCAATTCAGGGTGCATGTATTTGTCACTAAAATTACACATAATGGACCACGATTTATCTGGTTACATAGATCAAGGCTCTACCCGGGGTAATGCAGCCTACTTGTCTGTGCAGATATCACGTTTTTGGTTGACTTCATTATCCGGTGTAGAGGCCCTTGTTCTCTGAAACCACTTTCATGGGATCTTTATTAGATTTACTTTGCACTAGTAGGAAACCGGAACCTTCTAATTCTTAATAATGGCTTCCTATATCTCATTTTATATTAAATGAAAAATTAAATTTCCTATCTTTCTCAAATTATTTGCAAGAAGGTATGTATAAGATAAATTAGATGTAACAGAGTGGATTTGTGTATTGAATATAAAAATAATATATTGGTTATGTGTAGAGAAGTAAAAAAGTAATAGAAGTTATATAAAGGGGGTTTACAAAAGAGGATTAATGTATTGGATATTATTATGGAAGTATGTAGCTGCTTCCTCTCCTAATATTTAAATAATAAAGTCATTAACATAAGGTTATTTTTATCGTTAAAATCAAAGGTAAAACATAAATGCATCATTTTAACACCAGTATTAAGGAGGCGTTGTAACAATCGCTTTGGGAAATCTTCCAAGAAACAACAATGTTAATTTCCATCTTGAAAGGTAAAAAGATGTTGATTTTTCACCCACTGCTTAAAACTTGTGTGTAAAGTGTTTATCATTAATAAAAAAATGCTAGATCAATATTTAAAAAAAACGTAAGAATTCACTGAGTAGTACACCCTTCTTTGCATTTCAACAAAAATGTGTACTTTATTACGTGTCTAAATATGAATAAAACATCAAGTGTGGTAGACTTTACATGGGATTGGTTTTAAGTCCTTATTAAAATAATATCACACCCATTTCATTTCGTTTAATCGTTTCTTGAAGAAACATTACAATCAATGAATAATATATATATATATATATATATATATATATATATATATATATATATATATATTAATTTTTTTAAAGGGATAATAACTCTTCGTAATGAGATCTATATTTCACAATAAAACAACTCATAGAAATATAATATATTCAGTTGTACCCCCCCCCCCAAAAAAAAAAAAACGGCATTTATAGCTATTATTCAGATATCTGAGCTTGTCTTTAGACAACGTGGCCTCCATTGATGGCTATACTCTGTTAAAATATCTTAAGAGATTATAACAAAAAAAAACTGTTTAGAAAAAAAAACAGGGACTAACTTTGAATGTAAAAATGGATTCATTAACCATTGGTAAGTATGGGAAAATTATTGTTTACTACAGGAAAATTCATTTTTTGGCCAAAACGAAGAGTTATTATCCCTTTAACCAGAAGGGTTAAAAAAAGAAGAGAATTAAAAAAGATTAACCAGAAGGATTGATTGTGAGTATAACTGCACTTTACCAGAAGTCACATGACTGATGACGTCACTTCCGTGCAACAATTGTAGCTGAACCAGAAACTTGCATATAACACGAGATATCTGTGAATATGTATTGAAAAACCAATCTGCGGCCATGGAATCTTAGCGTTCCATACAACTAGGTAGCTGACAAACAGTTACTACATGAATGTAAGACAACAAACAGTTACTATATATTAGAGAACAAACAGTTGCTGCATTTAGTTCTGAGACTAACATTTGTCTGTTTATGTTCTTGAGTAAAGGTTTATTTCGCCGATTCTACAACAGTTATCTTAATATTGTAAACAAAAACTACTAGTACAGACTACTGCAAGAGCGCAGACCGAAAAGGGCAGTTAAAATAATTTTAAGCAAACCGGAATGAGTTAAAATTATTAAAAATCCTTCTCCGCCTAAATGACTGTGCATGCTGAAAAAGTAATCAAAATTTTCTGAGACCAAAACCGTCTACGTTGCCTGGGACCAAAAAAAAAAAAAAAAAAAAAAAAACACCAGGGCTCCGTATCTCGAAAGGTTCGCTATGTTGCGCACGAGCGCAAGTGTCTCGATTCCATAACCAATATATTCTTTCGAGATACGGGGCCATGGAATCGAGACGCACTTGCACGGAGCCCAGAACTCCCACATATCTGTCAACATCCGTCATGCGCACTGCTCTCTTCCGGCATGCATGCGCTGCGCGAAGGACACCAGACTTTATGGCTAGCGCACTCCATCTGGACGTTGACGTTCCCGGGCTCGCACTGACAGTATGTCCGCTCTGTAGGACCTGCAGAGACATCTCCAACATTGTCACACGGCTGGTCGCTGCAAGGCGTGCCTAGAAAACGAACAGTGGTGGATTTAGAGGGGGGGTCAGGGGGGTTCTGACCCCCCCCTACGATTTCTGAAACAAATTAACTCCAATGGTCCCCTCCTGAAATTAGAATTTTGACTAGCTGAATCATAGATCTTAACCGTACGAAATGGCACTGTTCGCCCTCTAAAAAAACAAAAATATTTGAGCCCTTCAGCGGACTTAAAATATTTTCGAGATAAAAAGATTAAAAAACTAAACAATATTACTTTGTAATCCAAAGAAAAATGCAAAATTTATTTCTGTTCCAGGCGTTTTCTTTTATGAAAATCAGTCTTTTGATCACATCACGTGACCACTTCGAAGTATCAAACTGCATGCATATATTCTCTTTCAGAAAGAATGTTCACAACTACAAAAGTTAGACCTAAGCATATACAGTATGCTGTTGTTACAGGAATGGTAGTCCTAAGGATGAAAGTCCGGGCTCCCATATGATTAGTACAGTTTAGGGTTAGTTAGAATATCGGGGTTAGTACACGTATAAGGGACGAATGTCACCTGTACAAAGTAATGGGGAACGGACTACGGTTCCTAGCGGATTACCATTCCTGTTACATTGTCGTGAAAATAAGAAATGAAATATCAAGTGATTTCTAAAAATGTATACCATACATATTTAGTGTAGCACACCATGGGTACTTCTACTACCTCTGTCCCATATATTCCATTATATATTGTAGATATTAGATAGGCCTATAGACACATTGGGCCAACGCCCTAAAATACCTAATATATATATAAATTTGTTTTCATATGCTGTAGACATTGAACATACCTGTTCCAGAGACGTTATAGTTGGCACTTGGAACCTGTAAAACAAAATAAAATAAAATAAAATAAAATAAAATCTGGAAATTTAGAGGGGTTTATGCATTGTTATTAATGATCACTTGGAGTGAATATCTTTGTGATGAAGGTGTAGAGGTCTTCATTTTTTATGCTAAACATTGACCTAACACTCATCGTGGGACCGTAAGTTATAAGATTTCCTACTATATGCGTTTAGTTCTAACCCTAAGTGTGGAAGCAATTTCAAGATTTCTCATTGATTCTATTATGTTTATTAGTGTTGTCAACGCACGTAGCGGCATATTTCCGTATTCAGGCGCTTAAGTCACATAAGTAATTTAATTAAATTTCCTGTCTTACGATCTGTGTTTACTCGAAGTGTAGCAGCTATTTGCATTCTCATTGATCTCAAGGCGTTCATTAGTGAGACATAAGTCTTTGTCGCAGACTGGGTTCCCATGCCTGGATCGATCCATCTGGTTCGAATCAGCTAGGGGTAAAGATAATTCCTCTCTGACAGCTTTACTAGGCGTGACAGACATTTAAGCTTGTTAAGTTGATAGCAATTTAGTGAGACTCCCAAGGGAGATAGATCGATCCAAATATCTGTGTGAATGGTCCCTTAAAGGCACAAAAATCCAATGACTGTCAAATACAAACTGTACATAAATTATACAGAACTGTGAGTCACATTGTACCAGATATTTACAATACAATTTACTAACTGTGGTTGAAGAACGATTGACGAAAACTCTGTTTTAATTGATATTTATGAAATTCAAAGAGAACGACACCTTGATTGCATTGCTTCAGTGTCTTCATACTGACACTGATGGGAAACATCCAGAAGGAAAGTGCTGCATCTACTAGCGATTGAGTAGTTACAGTAACTTGGACTTAACCAAATATCTTCATTATTTAATAAGTAGTCGTATTATGTCATTGCTTAATAGCATACCTATTTATAATAACATTTTAGTCCAGATTCATCTAACCATTAATTGTGGTAAAATCAGTATACGCCTACAAGGAATAAAACATTCTGAATTTAATTCACATTGAATTATTAGGTTGAATTATTCTAATTATTCTATTACAATGCATTGGATTATAATAGGGACCATTCCCAGGCTGTACTAACAGTGGATCAATCTATATCCGAGGGGATTCTCGCTAAATTGCAATCAGCCTAAGCGGCTTTAATGTCTGTCACGTTTACTGAGGCTGTTGTGGGGGGGGGGTAAGGGGGTAAATAAATATCGTTTAGCAGCTTCATTAGGCATGTCAGACATTTAAGCCGCTCAAGTTGAAAGCAATGTAGCGAAAAACCCCTTGGAGATGGATCGTTCCTGTTAGATCGATCTAGGTATGTGCACCCAGTCTTAAACTCAAATTAAGCTATTGGGAGCACACGAATGTTCATTTCGCACTGGACTATAGTGACCTCTATAATCCCGGACATGCTCATTGATTTTTAAAAGTCTCCGTGTTGTAGTTCGTTGAAATGACACGATTATTGGACAGATCTCCGAATTAAAACGCTCTTAACTTTTTCATATGTTAAGCACCGTCCTTAATTTATAAGAGACGCCAAACAAAAGTATAGATTTTGTTTTGACGCTGCATCTGAGGCAAATTAAAATGTTATAAGGAGAAAATAACAGGATATGAGGACTGGAACACTGGTGACTAATTAAATATCCACGGTAGCACACGGTCCGTTAATTATTAAATACGTGATTTAAATCACAGTTTTTGATTTAAAATATTTGAAATCGATTTTGCTAATAAAATATAACTTAAATCATAGAAATACATTTGTTTGTTACCCGTCAGTTATTTGTCTGTTGTATTTGAATTTGGGGATTCTTTCTTTTTGGCATATTTTAATATTGAATATTAAAATGTTGTTTTCCAATTTGTGATTATTTCTTGCCCTTCATTATTTCGCACTCAATAGTCAGAGTTCGCTAGCTCCTACATGGGAGGGTTTGAGGAGCGAAGAGCGACTGATATAAAATAAAACTTTTTTATTTAAAAATAGCATAACGTCGTTTTTTTTAATTTTTTTATTTATTTTTATTTTTCTAATTATTTATTTTTTGTTTGTTTGTTACAGTATTTTGCATGAAAAAGTATTTGTGAAATGCTTCTCCTTCGTGCTATTTATGGACATATACTGTATATAAAAAACATTTTGTTTTGAGCTCTTCTGATTAACAACACGAGGATCATTTTTTCCTCAGATATCAGTGTGATAAGATAAGAAAATTGCGAATTCAACTTGTTCGTGTCATCGCTAAAACGGCCAAAAACTAGACAATGTAGTGGTCACTGTGAATTTTTATTTTAAATTTTTGAAAATACCGTTCAATTCGAATGCATCTAGTATATTTAATATAAATCATAGTATATAAGTAATATATTTGAACCAGTTTTGTCCGGAATTAAAAAACACGATTGCGGTTCATTATAACCATAACTCATAATAAGCATTAAAAATAAACTAAACTCAAAAAAAAAAAAAAAAAGGTGAATCATTGGAATTCTACAATATTAACATTTGTATATGAGAGGTTTTCATATATATATATATATATATATATATATATATATATATATATATATATATATATATATATATATATATATATATATACTCTATCCACTGCTTCATGTTTTACATTCGACATTTGAAAATATATCTTATTCCGCGTCGAAATATTCCAAGAAATATTAACTTACCATAACGAAATAAGACCATCCGCTCCCTGGCTGCAAATCTGTCACACCAGCAGACGACCGCGACAGACGACAGGAAGAACCAGGGACGTCAGGGGACACTGTGACGCTAAAAGAGACGCACGTCTCAGTGTTGATACACGCCATGGCGCACTGAGGTTTGCCGTGTCCCTCTAGCTCAAGTAACGTATCCGACACGTGGTGGCTGTCCGTCCCTATTTTCTTGAATCTAACCATATATCCCACGTGCAAGGCACCGGTTATCACTAGTTGCCATGACAACCATATAAGCATTAGTTTCCCTTTTGACAGCCTTGCATGGAAAGACAAGGTTCTTGTGGAGGACATTGCTTTGCCAAAGATTTAACCCTCAACTGATGTCGAGTTTGTTTGTGGAAAACATCGGTCCCGTAAGTTGGACAGATATTCGTATTTCTGCCCTATTATATTCGTCATGGTACTCTTCAATGTCACGCTGCTATCAGCCTCTTTACACGCAGTTTTACGCTTTGTGATTTACGTCATATAATCTAATTAAGACACAAAAGAAGTCAAATACCCTAAAAGCTCTGCCACTTTGCACATCCCCTTTGTCAATCGTTGCTTTCCTGAGAACCCCATTTAAGGACGAAAAGAAGTAGAGTGCGTCCAGGGCAAAGAAATGAATCTGTTCAGTAAACACACTGGGGGTATTGTTTATATTTGAACAATTGTAAAATACGTTTATTGTAAAATAAATACGCACTTAAGGTAGATCGATAGATAATTCGTTTGAAGAGCCATGCAAAGTAGTTGCAAAATTGAAAAAAAAAATGAAGTCATTGACAAAATAAAAGACTAGGCCAAACTACGTTGAAGCCAGCATGACGCACTCGTGATCATTCACACCCAAGGGGAAAATGGGTGTTATTTTTATGACGTGTTCGTTGCAATCTTTTTTTTTTTTCTTTTTTAATTTTTTAAAAGGACTCTCAGAACTTTAAAAATTTGCAAAGAAAAATGAGGAGTCAGCAATTAAATGAAAAAAAACTAGGTTAAATTGAAGTGCATTACATGCTTCGTGACGCACTGGTACCCTCCCAAATCAATAGACAAATGGGTGTTCTTCTACTAGATGTTTATCTCGCATTGATGTATTAAATCTGCAGATGGGCGTACGTTCAACAGTTTCGCACGGGATACTATCTTTAAGCTTTTAATATCACAAGGACTTAATAACAAGGTAGAATGGTTTATTTATCATACAAAAAGGAGTCTTATTTCTCATAAAAATTGACAGAATCTACTATGACGACATTGGTATTGATTGACGATGCGCAGGCATTGTGCAGAGCGTCAAATTACGTAACGACCGATCTACCTAAAGTGTCAAACTTCCGTAAAAACTAAATGGTTCCTTTACAAGCCAAGCTGATGAACAAATAGACAGTGGTAGTTACGGCTTTGCCAGTAGCTTAAAAGGAAACGCTTTTATAGATCAACACTTGCAACGGCCCTGGCAAAAATATTGGCGAGCAACTGTGTCGGCTTACCAATTTTTGTCCTCGTAGCACTGGCGGGATCAGGTTCTATATTGGGTTGGGGAGGAGGAGGTTATTGGCTTATTTTGCTCACCAACGATAAAGAGGCAGAGTAAGAATAATGAACTTTAAGTGTAGTGTGTGAGGAAAAGAGAAAGACCATCGCTTGGTTTCGATTGCAACGAATGACTTATTATGGGAGAGAAACATGGAAGAAGAGATCCTCTGGGATCCACCACCCGCTTTTCTAGCTAAGCCATTGCTCCAAGTACAGCGCAAACGGTGGTATATCAGCTGAGCTACATGCTTCACTAGATGCGAGACACCAGCTCATAGCGTGCACATGCAAAACGTGTTAGACAAGCGCCTCATGTCTCCTGATTCAAATAAATAAATATAGAGCAAATAAACTTTTATTTTCAAACCAACACTAAAATAATTTTTATCTTGGAATCATATTGTTCTTACGATTATTCAACAGGTGCGCACACTTAGTAGTGATAGTATCTTTAAAATTAGGAGCAAAAAGGTAAGGTAATGTACAGGCCATCTAAACACGCAAATAAGGCCTTAATCTCACATTTCTGATCTCCAACTATGACCAAATACACTGAATAACCTTAAATTTTGATACAGCTTTGTCTGTGGACCTGCACAAAACATGCCTTTTTTTTCATGGCTGGAATGGTTATTACGCGTAGAACGCTGGTAAAAGTAAACAGTTTCTAATGAGACTTTAACGTGGCGTCCCAACATCCGTTGCTCACACCCACGTGACAGTCATGTGATCTTTGAGATCATGTGATCATTGTGACGTGATGCTTCTTATGTAGAAAAACATTCTGCCACTTTAGAAACTATTCACTTTTCAACAAGAATAACATTAAATCACATTTCCTAATTTTCTGTGTTTAAAACTAAAACCCATCAATAGTAAACCACTATGCAAAAGTGCATTGCTTGCTTACTGCTACAGTGGCTTAATGTGACAGTTAAAACTATATATACTGCATATAAATGTGTCTAAATTGAAGGAAATTGGTTAATAATAGTATATTATGCTACAATTTGTGACAATTAGTTGCTGTATAATTCAATATAATATAATATCCCTACTTGTCCCTACTTGTGCTAATAGTTTTAACCCATAAGAGTCTCAGACTCCATAGCTATACACAGACTACAATTAGTCACACTCTTGTCTACTACAGTGGTGCATACTCCGGGATTCCAAACACAGACATTTTTAATGAAAATATGGAGTTAAATATAATAAGATACTCAATCCAATATCTATCTGTACCACATGCTCTTAGCAAATGGAGAAATATTGGCATTTAGGCTGCAATTACTATATTATCCCCTCTGTATCTATAATATTTTGAATAACTGATTCTACTGTCACTGACATGGAAGTTATAACAATTATCTTAGCTCTGAAAAATGGTCTCAGCTTTAAAATCAGTAAAACCCATGCTTTGCTAATAACCTTTAAGTTTCAGGAATGTTAGTGAAAAATTGCCCCAATGACTCATGAAGGGCCAAGCTCTAAAACTGTACATCTTAACCATCACAATTATTACCTATATCCGTCCAATGTTCACATTGTGACCAGAACCACAGGTCATTAATTATACTCTGATAGCTTGCAACAAATCTCTGCTCTCAAAAACATACTACTTTGATATGTAATCAGACAAAACGATCTCCACCAAACAATGGATTCTTCAGCAAGGAAAATTGTTATGGAATGAGAAATTTTATCGTTCATAGCATAATATAATATTGAAACATTTCACTTCACACACAGTGCATCACAGTCGAAATCACCACTGATATCTTTTCTAATCTCTATTAAACAGTTAACCATGCTGGACAATCCTAAAAATTGAATCTCTCTCTCCCTCTCTCTCTCTCTCTCTCTCTCTCTCACACACACACACACACACACACACACACACGCACAATCTCTGTCTATGTATACCATTTTACAAGTGCGTGTGCATGTGAATGTGTGGACTGTATACGCACATATGACTTGACATAAAGGCATTAAATCCAATGAGTGCTAACAAAATATATCTGCATGTGTCCATGTGCAGCTCTCCGTACATTACTCTATAGGGGAAAATGTCTTTTCTCGGCCCCTAAATTGTTAAAGATGGGGAAGAAAGTCAATCTTTCCAATGTGATCAAACAATTTTACCTACTGCATATGCCCTAGAACACCATCAAATAGTCTTGACCACAACTGAACTGTTCATGACCAGTCAACATGTCATACCTAGACACTTAAAACATGTTCAGTTCCTTTAAACAAGATTTACTTCAAAGTCATCATGTTATTTAACTTTGCATTTTAATCCCCAGATAAATTGATGTTGTACTATATCTGTGACTCAGCAAAATATTCTTAAAGTCATTTTGACTCAGCATTTTTTACTCTGTATATATAGGGGAGAAAATACATCTAGACGGCATACAGAGCTATGGCGGGATTTCTTCTTTCGGTAACGCTTTTTGCCTCTGCGCTTTAACAGGCAGAATGAGCGTCTTGTCGTTCTGTCAGACAAGACAAAGCAAAAAATCAGATTTAATGAGATCATTTGGGGTCACAAAGCACGCAGGAGAGATAGAGGAGGTGTTTTTAAACGAAAGCATTCTGACGGTCCTTTTCTGGGACTTCTACAAATTGTCTTTCGAGGGCTCAAAATCTTCCACAAAGATCAGCTACCAACAGCGTGAATCCACCACAGTCATCGAGATGGGTATACAGATTGGTCAGAGTTTTTACGGCTCTTTCAGGAAGTAGATGCAGCTCTCGTCAAGAAGAAGATAAACAGTGGCGCCCAACCTCAACCGTCAAGTAAAGCTGTCGCACGTCTCCTGTATACCTATTTCCTGATGAGGATGATTAACTATCTGAAGAGTCAAAATTGCACCAGTTGCCAGACTGCTCATAGAAGCCAGCGAGAATACGAGTGCATCGAACCAGTTTGGTCTATGTCAGTGTATCGGTTTATAGAAGAGGCGTTTCAACAGGTCAATACCAGTGTCATTCTGGAAGCATAAGATTTTTACATATCTCTTAGAGACCTTGAAGACGATCCTTACATTTATTCTGTGATCCAGCGTTAATATGAAAACTGCCGTAAACTTATAAGTGAAGTTATGTCAACGGAAGGTGTTGAATGCTACGATCACACCTTGCAATCATGTTATGAGCGTATTTTTGAATAGGCGAACCTGCTATGTATCTATCAAACACATGAGTTATTTGGACCTTATTATACGGACCAAGACACATTATTAGTATTATAATTTAAATATTTAGTCTAACGTCTTTAAACAGATAAAGTCATATTATAAACATTATACACAGAGTTTAAACTATTCAGCAATCTATATACGGATAAAGTCAAATTAGGCGGTGTTTATTTGTAATATTATGCTATTATACTGACAGTACACTTTGTTTTACAAATTTTTCATTTGTTTGATTCAGTCTTGAAATCCTTATGTTAATTATTTCTTTATTTATTAAAAAAATTGCGTGTCTATTGTGTTTGGTGTCTTTTACTTCCCACCCGTCGCGATGCAATTGTGTTTTGCATCATCATATGTTAAAGCCTCTCACCAACTGCAATTGTAATCGAAGTCCGTAATTTCTCATTGCGTTCTCACCAACTGCAATGTAATTATGCCTTTCTTAACCATTTAGAATTTCGACACTATTTCGACAGTGTGCATAACACTTCAATTGGTACGATGGTGTAAACATCTGGCCCCATTTGATTATATACCAGTCAGGGACTTCTGCCGACTTCACCAATATTTCAGCAAATAGACCGAACAAGAAATATGCAGGGACTTTACAAGCGCAAACGGCAAGCACTACATTTTTTTTTTGCCATTATAGCGTACCAGTGTATGGATGTAGGCCGAACACAAAATATGTAATGACTGTGCAAGACCGACAATACCTTTCTTGTCATGACTGCTAAACAGATGCGTGGATTTACTAACTTCATATCAGTGTTTGGTTAGTAGAATATATTGCTGCTAGGTTTAAAGGGGTCTGTGTGATTAAGCAAAAATAGATGAAATATTTATCTCGAAAATTTTATTACGTGTCTGGTTTAAGCTGCATTTGGATTACAATTGGCTTAAGATAAAAATGAATTAACCGTGATTCCCGTTCAAAAATTCAATAAGTGTAGAGTAATTTTATTTATTTATTTATTTATTTATTTATTTATTTTTTTTGCTTAGCCACCCAGAACCACTTTACGGTTTCTATTTTAACTCGGTAGACAAGGAATTCTCAAACAGTCATCAGTTGAGAAAAAAAAAAAATATATATATATATATATATATATATATATATATATATATATATATATATATATATATATATATATATATATATATATATATAATTATTATTATTATTATTCCAAAGCAAAAAAGGCACCTAAATGCACGGAAAACTAACTTTCTGCAGTTCTTGCTTGTCTAAAAGCTTTACTGGAAATAATCCACGAACAATTTCCCAATAAGTTCGAGTTTCTTATGATTTCTTAAGAAAAAATTATCATGATGTGATTGAATGATGATTTATTCTTCGTCGTTTAAGGCCTCTGGACAACAATACATTACAATCTGTACAAACACAGAAGACATATACAATCAAGGTTTTACATACAGAAATAAATTATGAATACTCCATACATATACAAGTATTTCATTTATATATCTGGATGGTTAACATTGTTATTTACAGTATCATTTCTTAGTATAAAGGCGTTAAATAAAAATCTACTCAGTGAGAAAATACTCTCTTCATTCTCATCAGACATAATAGTTGTAAACAATCTGGAATATAGTCCAATAGGTCTTTGACTCGCGCATTTAAGTCACCTGCAATAACAAATGATACACATGGTCCGAAGTCCAGTTCTAATAACGCGAGATTTTCATTTAACAATTCTATTCCGTTGCTGTTCGTATATGGTCGATCTCTCTGGTGCTATGTTGGTAAAGAAAAGAACAATATTGGACTGCGTATTACATAAACGTTTTATCAACCAAAAATATAACACTCTCCTGGAATTCTTTGTGGACGAGAGTAATAATTTTATTGCCGACCAGCCAGTTTTTAACAAAGACACTTACACCTCCTGATCCACGTTTAGGCCTCTTTATTTTTCGTGGGCTGTCATAATTCGTGTACCCAGGCATTCTGCCAGTGAACTCATCAAATGCGGTTTGCCAAGTCTCAAAAAATTCCAATCAAATCATAATAAGTGCAAAATTGAATAAATTCTTCGTCATTTAAATGCTTGTTTAAACCTCTTACATTTATTGAACATAGCTTACATGAGAAGCTGCTATTTCCAACTGACTTATTGATGTTAGTCAGAGGCTCGAGTCCCTACCCCGGGCTTTCGTATGGCTGAGATCCTGTTGGGGTAAATACATTGTGATCCGTGACGTTTCGCTCATCGTACAGCTTTCCGTTAATATACAGTTTATCCCTCACAAGTTTCACATTTTTTTCTCCTCGTTTCTGGTAGTCTTTCATAATTGGATAGAGTTGGCGTCGTCTGTCCTCAATAGGTTTCGGAAACTGTTTGTGTATATACACCAAACTGGGTGCCTCGTAATTTATATGCTTTTCCTCTCACTTCCTCTTTATCGGCGTTATAGAGGAATCTCGCGACTATTGGCCTATTTTTGCCCTGCACATACCTCCCGAATCTGTGAACATTTCCTAGCTCTATCCTTCTACCGATTTCAAGTTCATTATATATGAAATTTCGTAATTTGCTCTCTGTATCTTCGTCCCTAGTCTCGCCTCCCAAGCCGGTAAATACAAGGTTATATTTCATCGATCTACATTGAAGGTCGATAATTACCTTTGAAAGCTCCTTTTTCTTTTGTGACAACTTAACTATTTCACTGTTTATCTGCTCCACGTTAAGTTTTTGCCTTTCCATACTTGCTGTAAGCTCGGAAATTTCATTCTTCTGCTTGTCTAAAGATCTGGACGGTTGGGGAATTTCGTCGGTTTTGCTATGTAGCTCGTCCAATTTTTCCGAAACAAAGGTTATTTACGTCTCAATTTCTGTGTTTTTCATCTCTATCGTCTGTAACTTTGTTTTCCAGGAAAACGACTTTATTATCTAGTGCTTGAATTTTTCCTTCTATGATATCAAGTTTTTGGAGCTTATTCATAATAAAATCTAACTTTCTATGTGTCTCTGAAAACTGTTCGTTGATATTTTTGATCGAAAGCGGTGTAGATGTTTTAGGTTCAGACAGTTTACCTGCATGGTCCATTGCTTCTGGGCTCGCATATAACATATTGGTCGCTTCGCTACTGTTCATTGAATTGTGGTCTATAGACGATGAGTTGTGAGTACTGTTCTCACTATTGTCGCTACACAAGCCTATACATAACTTACATTATGTAAAGCTTAACAGTAAATTGAGTTTTCAAACATATCAGGGTGTTTACCCTACTTTTAAAGTTGAAAATAAGCTAACTTAAACCACAACTTGACAAATAAACAGAATTTAAAAACATATAGCGAACAAAGTTTGCACTGAATAAGTCTTTGAAGTGGCAAAACGTAAGGCTTCCGTATCTTCTTTGCTTTCTGAAAATAATAATAATAATAATAATAATAATAATAATAATAATAATAATAATAATACCTTTAACTACTCTGTATATATAAAATTCTTTAGCCTGAAAAATACTAACTACATTTACACAGACAATCTAAATATATTTAGCCAATCATATACAACATGTTTTGAATTAGGCATAAAATATGACTCAAAATGTAAAAACTCACTTAATTATTTTGATTGTTTTCTTCCCCCTGCTCATCTTGGTCTTCATTTTCTCCTTCTCCTTCTTCAGTAATAACAATAAATTCTTCAAGCTGAAAAAGAAAATCACGCTCCTTATTGCCGTATTGTTCAGGATGATGATATTTATTTAAAACCATGTACTTTCAATACTGTGAAATAGTTAATCCTTCACAAACTAGGCCAATCAAATATCATTAGAAGAGGGTAATACATATTTACCTTGTGGGATTTGTTCAGCCCTATTTGGTCCTCATCAACCTGCAAATGAGTTTAAACTGTTTGTCAAAAGACCGATAGCGTTGAGTGCATATATGCAATACATAAAAATCTCCACTGTTAAAAAAATACACACATGCTTTAGTTAAAAATAAAAAATTATATATATACCTGATATTTTGTATAGTATATGCATTACGTACCTGTGCCTCAATGTGATAGGTTTTCATTAAAAATTTGCCAAAATGTTTTTCAGTTCAGACATGTTGGACATTCAGGCATTCAGACATTCAGGCATGTTGGCTGCAGCCTGGTAGTAATGCTGAGAATTGGAGTATTTATATGCAGCAAAAATGACATGACTTTGCAGTTTTTCTTCATTTTAATATAAAGTATTAGAATAAATATATAATACAACATTTCAAACTTGTCCTTTGAATAAAGAAATGTTATTCAATATCCATGACGCAACGATAAGACGGTGTCATCTTTGGCAAAATAAAATGACACTGCAATTCTTTTAGCTAAACATGATGCCTTTGAAGTTTTTCTTCAAATACTTATATAATAAAACATTTCAAACTTGTCCTTTGGATAATGAAACATAGGCTGATTGCATGTTTGCTAATTTGCCTGTTCATACTTCAGGTGGTAATTTGTTGACAAATCCACTTAACAGATGAGACCCCCCTACTTCTGCTTGTCAAATATTTAAAAGATCACCTCGTAGGAATCCAAGGGCATCTATTGCATTCCGCTAAAAACAGCAGCCTACGTCATTTGCTCATTAAAAACGCATAGCCCCTTTAAATGTTCAAGGTTTACTAAAAAAATTACATTAAAGTATCTTGCCCCTCTATTACGCTTCAAGGGTCACTAAAATATTGCATTGGAAGTATATGGTCCCTCAAAAGTTGCATCTCGAAAAACTCCTCTCTTACTACTAGTATTTGTAAAATGCTTCTCCTCCGTGCTTTTTATGGAGATATACCGTATATCAAAATAATAATAATAATAATAATAATAATAATAATAATAATAATAATAAACATTTAGTTTTTAGCTCTTCTTATTATTAACAACACGTGGATAAATTTTTCCTCAGATATCAGTGTGATAATAAGATGAAAAAAATTGCGAAAAAAAAAAAATTCTCGTGTCATCGACAATCGCTAAAACAGCTAAAAATAGCCACTGTACATTTTAAATAAATTTAAAAACTCCTTTCAAATCGAATACATCTAGTAGTATTTTGGAACCAGTTTTATCCTGTGTTTTATAAAAAGAAAAACACGTTTGTTGTTCATTTTACCCACAACTCGTTATAAGGAATAAAAATAAATTAAACTAAAGTAAACTTGGTGAATCATTGGAATTCTACAACATTAAAATTTGTAACTATCTTAAGTTTATATATATATATATATATATATATATATATATATATATATATATATATATATATATATCCACTGTTTAATGTTTTACATTCGACATTTGAAAATATCGTATTCCACATCGAAATATTCCAAGAAAAATCAACTTACCATAACGAAATAAGACCATCCGCTCCCTGGCTGCAAATCAGTCACACCTGCAGACGACCTCGACAGACGACAGGAAGAACCAGGGACGTCAGGGGACACTGTGACGCTAAAAGAGACGCATGTCTCGGTGTTGATACACGCCATAGCGCACTGAGGTTTGTCGTGTCCCTCAAGTTCAAATAACGTATGCGACACGTGGTGGCTGTCCGTCCCTATTTTCTTGAATCTAACCATATATCCCACGTGCAAGGCACCAGCTATCGCTAGTTGCCATGACAACCATATAAGCATAAGTCTCCCTTTTGACAGCCTTGCATGGAAAGACAAGGTTCTTGTGGAGGACATTGCTTTGCCAAAGATTTAACCCGCAACTGATGTCGAGCTTGTTTGTGGAAAACATCGGTCCCGTAAGTTGGACAGATATTCGTATTTCTGTCCTATTATATTCGTCCTGAAACCCTTCATTGTCACGCTGTTATCAGCCTTTTTACACGCAGTTTTGTGCTTTGTGATTTACGTCAGATAATCTAATTAAGACACAAAAGAAGTCAAATATCCTAAAAGCTCTGCCACTTTGCACATCCCCTTTGTCAATCGTTGCTTTCCTGAGAACCCTATTTAAGGTCGAAAAGAAGTAAAGTGCGTCCAGGGAGAAGAAAAGAACCGTTCAGTTAACACACTGGGGATATTGTTTATCTTTGAACAGTTGCACGTTTATTGAAAAAAATACGCACTTAGTGTAGATCAATAAGTACGTTACAAAAATGAAAAAAGAAAAAACAATGGGAGTCATTGACCAGATAAAGGACTAGGCCAAACTACGTTGAAGCGTGCGTGGCGCACTTGTGATCATTCACACCAATGGGGAAAATGGGTGTTATTTTTATGACGCGTTAGTTGCAATTTTATTTTCATTTTTTGAAAAGACATCTAAGAACATTTAAAATCTGCGAGAAAAACGGGGAGTCAGCAATTAGATAAAATAACTAGGCTAAACTGAAGTGTATTACACGATGCGTGACGCACTAGTGCCTGTTCAAATCAATAGACAAATGAGTGTTCTTCTACTAGATGTTTATTTGGCATTGATATGTTAAATCTTCAGATAGACCTACGTAGGCTACGTTCCATAGTCATCGCATGGAATACATTCGTTATGATTTTAAAATTTACCAGGTACAAGGAATAAATAACAAGGTGGAATGGTTTGCTTATCATACAAAGAGGAACCTTATTACAGGTAAAAATTGACAGAATATACTATGACGACGTCGGTATTGATTGACGAAGCGCAGGCATTGTGTACAGCGTCAAATTACGTAACGACCGATCTATCTAAAGTGTCAAACTTCCGTAAAAAGAAAATGGTTCCTTTACTAGCCAAGCTGATGAACAAATAGACAGTGGTAGTTACAGTTTTGCCAGAAGCTTAAAAGGAAACGCTTTTATAGATCAACGTTTGCAACGCCCTGGCAAAAATATTGGCGAGAATCTGTCGGCTTACCAATTTTTATCTCCGTGGCACTGGCGGGATCAGGTTCTATATGGGGTTGGGGAGGAGGGGAGGGGGGTTAAATTGGTTTATTATGCTCACCAAAGATAGAGAAATGGACTAAGGTCAATGCGATTTTAGTGTAAATGAACGGTTNATTGTGGAATTACAATGAGCAACTGATATATATGAGTTATATTACAAATAAGAAAAGAAAGATAGAAATTTGTTTAATTGTACCATAAGATTTGGTCAATGAATTTTTGTTTTTCTTTATTTGAATTTGCTTTAAATACATAGTAAATGCGGCGATGCTGTAATACTATGTTAGTAATTAATGAAATACTATGTTTATGCTGTAATACTATGTTAATAATGTAAAATTATGTTAATATTCATTTGAAAGAAAAGCTCATTATCATGTATGTTCATTCAAGAAAATAAAACCTTGTATAAGTTTATTTCAGATATGGATGATCTAGACATGTTAGATGAAGCTTGTTTTGTCCCGGATTATGATGACACTGATCTGGTGGAAGATCCTACTGTCCTAATTGGTGAAGAGGGGGAGGAAGTTACCCACTCAAAGTGCAGAGGGGAGAAACGGAGGAGAGAAGTCCAGTGTGGTTTATGTCTGGTGTCCAGTGCTGACCTAAGTAGACATCTTGGACGTCATGTGAAATTTGTTCATTTGCCGTGGTATATGACTCCAGGATTGGTGTGCTGGTATTGCAGATCGATGGAAAAGGACAATTCGCTTTTGCGTAAACGTCATGGTGATGTTCATTCGTGTGGAACTGGTGAATTCGAGAAAAAAACTGTGGATCCAGTTGGTGAATGGATTTATACATTTCCTGATATTAACATTAAATATGAGAAATATATGGGAGCTGATGGACTATGTGAAAAGTGAAGGACTAGTAATATTGCCAGATAACTGTTCCAAGGAGGACATTGATTTTGTGAAAATGTACATTTATGGAAATGGTATGGAGCCTAAGACTGAGATTCTAAATTCTTGGTTGACTTTGTTTCACTGGAAAACTTTGTATCATCTGTTACAGAAACTTTCATCAGAGGATCGTGAACTCTGTAGTCATTGGTATCGGCGGATGGAATTTACTTTGCTACATGGATGAAAAATGAACTATATAATGATTTGACATTTCACATTGACATTGTTATCATTAATAATGTTGTTTTGAGCAATTTAGAGTTAAAATCACTTTGTTTGCTTTTAAAAATGATTTAAAGTGATAATGGATTTAAAACTTTGTTTTGCATTCCTAAGGATGAACATTTATGCTGAGAGATGGACTTAATTGACATTGCTTGTGTTAAAGTTAAATGTTGAATCTTGGCATAACAAGAATGACTTATTTGCATTATTTGCTTATTTTAAATGTAAAGTAAGATTTCAGTTGTTATATTTGTTGAATTGTAGTAATTGTTAGTTTAACAATTTAAAGTAATGGTTTATATTGTAATAATAGGGGGGAGTTTTGTTCGTCAAAAGGGGGGAGAGTGTGACGATGTTGTGTTAGTTGAGATTATTTTATATTGCTACCGGTAGATGTCTCTGTAAGTAAAGTGTTGTCCGGTGTGCAAGTTTGAATCTCTCCCGTGATTGGTAACCTAAAGGTAAAACTGTTCATTGTATAGTTGGTTCTGATTGGTAAACGTGTACTATCTGAACTTGTATATAAGGTGTAACGTGAAATAAATCGCTCTCTTTGGCCTCTTTGCTCTTAGCGGCTGTCTTTTGCTCTTCTCTTGAGGCTTTTTGGCTTTGTGTTTAACTCTGAGATACCAGTAAGTACATTGTTATTTGTACCTTCATAAGGCACTCGGCCGCGAAGGCGTAACAAT